AAACAATTATTATTTTAGCTACTTTTATAATAATAAATCCAGAATACACGTTTGTTTGTTTTGTAGTTAAGCACAAAAGACTATCTGGGAAAATTCTTGTTGTGTTTTTTTTAATATTGCAGCGCTGTGTTCTTTATTATAAAGAGCCTAATGATGTCAACTGCCTCGCTTACCTACTGCCTTACACCTTAAGGTCGACGCCAGTTCGATATGTTTCTTTGTTTTTTAAGACTGTTTGTGTTCATTTACTTTGATACCATACTGTAACAATCTATGTTTTCAAGTACCTAAATAAAGCACTAACACATCATTGACAGGTAACAAACAATGCCTTCCATTTACATATCTCCGTATATGTAATGTTAAAATGACCCTATTTAGAGATGATTCGTTTAGAGCTCTGTCCTTCAGAACCCTACCTGAGCACTAAACAAGGTATTATTGTATATATGTACGACCTGTCACACGGTGTTGTAATAATCATAAAAAATGTTTAAATGTATATTTAAGATATTTGCAGTGGGGGGTGGCTGTGCTTAGCATGCTGAACTGTAGATGTAAAGGATCAATGCTAGAATCCCATTACAGTGAAAAAATTATCTGCACTGTGTCAGACAAATAACCCAAGAGTTCAGTTGCCTTTCCTGTGGGCTAGTATTTTCCAAACTGTGTGGCTTGGCCTTTTGGCGGGAGAGCCAAAACATAACGACGGAAGAAATAAAAGAGTGCGGACGACGATAACTTAGTAAAACTATCATTTTGCTCTTGCATTTACTGACACCTTACATGCATTTTCATTTTTAAAAACTATATAAAATACGGGTGAAGAAAATGTTGGTTTTTGCTGTTATCACTTACGAAAATTATTTTAATATTGGGATGGGGCAGTGGAAACTTTCATGAGTTAGGGAGGCGCCGCTATTTTAAGTTTGGAAAATACTATTATAGATTATCTATCAGTTAAATTAGTAGCTGCTAGCCTATGTGTACATTTGTGCGAAAGTCTGAAACAAAAATAACCCAATTTTAACTGTATTATTTGTTAGATATGATATTAAAAAATGGATTAGTATATTCTCGTTTGTTATAAAAGAGTCAAATGAATGCAATTTTCAGAACCCGTGTGTAGAAGCAAAATAGAATATGGTATAATATATCAATCACACCAAATCCTCTGTATCTAGTGCCGATTTCGCCTGAAAACAGATCTCGTCAAGTCGGCTGGAATACAACGGAAAAAAAAGAAGTGGTCTGTGCATTATATATTTAAATTTTAAGTCATTTACAAATCAGATTTTATTATTAGGGTAGGAATTATAACACAGTATTATTTTAACACTATTTATTTATTTTCATTTTTATAGTAGTATTATTTTATTATAATTTACTATCATTCGCAAGAACTAGCTGTTTTGGTGGTATTTAGGGTTAAAGTGTTTTGACGGTAGTTACTGACATATTTGGTGACCATTACTGGTATTGGGATTACGTGTTATGGATGGTGAATCCCGACATGCTAGGATGTAATGTTTCGACGATCTTTACTGATATATTCCGATGAAGTGTTTGGATGGTTGTTACTACTTAGCTAACGTATTTGGGTTAAGTTTTGGGGTGGTGTTTACTGACACATTGAGGTTAAGTGCATAAGCAATCTGTTATTTTTATTCATGTGCGTGATAATGAATGGAAATATATGTACCTTGGTCATATTGCAGTATATTTTAAGAGTTCTAATGGTTTAAGGTAAATTGTTACCCTAGTCATAAAAAGTAATGAACTGTGTCTACAAGTTTTCTGGTTAAAATTGGCATAAGTTTAACAACAAAAACTTATTAGTAAAATTAAATAATATAAACTGTTTTAGTGTTTGCAACTTCATTTTTTATTTCATTCTTGATTTAATAGGTTTGAAAAAGGATGATACTTTATCCTGTTGTTTTAACTGAAATAAATGACCAACAGTGGCTGTCAAGAAAAAGAACTCCAACCACTAGTAAGAGATATCTTGAACCAAAGATAAAAAAAACCTTGATTATTCCGTTTATGAGCAATGGTACTCAAAATTAATCCTTCTACAGAGGTAAAAGAAAGTTTCAACCAGTAGCAAAGAGGTAAAGAAAAAGAATATTTGAGTTTTCAACAGCAGAGTGCTCTTTACAGCGAATCGTAAAGTTGTTCACTGGAAAATTAGATCACAATTAAAGTAATTTTGTAGTTTTTCTGTCCAAGGTGTGTTTCAGAAACATCATTTAGTTTGGTGTAACCGTTTCCTTTTGAACATGACAGTTTCAAGTTGCATTCCAGATCATGGTGCTTTAGTAAAAGTCGGAAAAAGGTCTAAGCTGCATTTAATAGCGTGAAAAAAAGTAATTTCCAAAGTAAAGCACATAAACACACACACACCGTGATTCAGAACAGATGTCATGATGCAAAGAAATATTATTATGATTATTATAATGATCATTTCATTTGGAAGCTGTGGGTAATGTTTCTAATAAAGAACTTAATAGCTCTGCAGGATAAATATAGTCTAGTTAGTTCTCAAGTAATCAAGGAATAAAAATTTTTAATAGAGAAGAACAATTGAGTTCATTAGTACCGTCATTATAAAATTGGTAAAATTTAAAAAAAAAAAACGAATCTCTTGTGCAGGAATAGGAAGGTTATCCAAGTGATGACAAAAGAGAATTGAACACTTCAGAATTAATTGATGATAAAAACAACAAAAATTGAGAAAGCCTTGGAAAGTGTTTCAAATTCTCGTGAGAGTTTTTTTTTTACACAAAGACAATGAGATTTTTGCTAGAATAGACAAGTGAATATGCTCAATTGCATCAAGATAATAATTAGTTCAACATGCTACAGCTAACGAGTAATACAAATTGCAGGACTGTACAGACATTCAAAACCAGACAGAAAAGTGAACCAAAGTACGATGTGTCACTAATGGTTTGTAGGCCAGAAACAAGAATGAAGTCTTGCTAGGAAGGAGGAGAAATATCAATTTAACTACGATGAACATCGCAGTATCAGACGAGCAGAGCAGGAGCAAATATTTTACAAAAGATGACGGAACAGCCGTTCACTCTCAAAGCAGAAGCAGTCCTACTTACGAAGGTTTTGATAGTAACGTAGAAACTTCTTCGTGGTCGGATGTAAGAGTGAATGATATCTCTGTTGATATCTTCAATACTGATAGTCAAGATGATAAAATGACAGAACCGTATGTTTCTGAAGATGAATGCACACGGCTTGAAGAAGTTTATAACGAGACTAGTTGTCATGAGATAAATGCTAATGAAACAACTGTTTTATCTTCAGATGTTTACAAATCGGTTTTGTCTACACTAAAAGAAGTTAATGAGATGCATCATTTGAAAGATCAACATATTTTTTTTTCTAAAACAAACATTAATGATAAAATGAAAAAACAATATGTTTTTGAAGATGACGACACACGGCTTGCAGAAGTTGATAACGAGACCGGTTGTCATGAGGAATTTTGTAAAACAAACGTTAGTGATAAAATGAAAAAACAGTATGTTTTTGAAGATGAAGACACACAGCTTGCAGAAGATGATAACGAGACCGGTTGTCATGAGGAATTTTGTAAAACAAACGTTAGTGATAAAATGAAAAAACAATATGTTTTTGAAGATGACGACACACAGCTTGCAGAAGTTGATAACGAGACTGCTTGTCATGAGGAAAATGGTAATGAAACCCGTGTCTTATCTTCAGACATTTGCAACTCTGATTTTTCTGCTCTAAGAGAAGTTAATAAGCCACATCATTTGAAATTAACAGATCAAGATAGAGTGTTTTCTAAAACAAACATTGATAGTTATTCTTTCCCTAAAGAAGTTTATCAACAATCTTTATTGAACAAAATTCTAAGTAATGAAAAAAACTGTAAAATAAGTGTGACTAATAATACATTTAGGCCCAATCAAACAGTGAATGGTGAAAATGATGATAAATGCACATCCATCATTTCAACAACTAGAAATGTTTTTAATAAAATAAGTGAATCGAATACATCTCCTGAAATAAACACAGAAAATGAGACTTTTAGTTCGGTAAAAAATAAAGTTGGCTTTAAAGATAATGATTTCCATTTAAAAAGAAATTCTGTAGAGAAGTTTTTTTCTCAAAGATTCGTATTAAAGAAAGATGAAGAACGAATCATAAATGTAAATAATGATGTTTTAGATAAGGATTTTAAAGGGGTTACTTCATTACAGCAGTTAACCAAGAAAGAGAAATTCTGTAAAGCTGAGGATGATGAAGTTAACCAAAAATCTGATCCCACCACCATAAAATATTCTCTACAAATAGAGAGAGAATCCAGTCGAGTTGCACAAGAAAATATAATCGAAGAGATTAGTGGCAAGCACATGAACTGTTATAAGTGTGGAGAACATTTTATTTCCGAGGAGTATCGTAATATGTGCACCAAGTGTCAAGCCAAGACTTTACAAGCGACACTGGTTAACACAGAGTATAAACAAGCACCAACGCATTCACCAAAACTACAAGCACATTTGTTAGTCGATGAGAAATCGCAAGATGAGGCTACCGGATCTGTGTTTAAAGAAAACTCAAGAAGGAAGAGGACATTAAATAATGAATATTTTTCCTGTAGTGAAGATATAGTTAGTCTATCACCAGATCAAATGGTTAAAAGAAGGTGTTTGGATAATACGGGTTTAAATGGCTCAAAATTTAAACACCAAAGTAAACCGATGCCAAAAATAAAGAAGGATAATCTGTTGATAAAATACCTCTTAAGCACCAACCAGCATGAAAGAAACACAAGCGGAAAGTTATTAAAGCCTTATGAAATTAGCGAAAGTGAAAACAGGATTGAGCCTGAAAACTGTGAAAATTTGCAAGCCACACACTTGGTAGAAAATAATTACAAACAAGAAGAAAATAAAATTCACCCAAGACAGCTGGTGGAGAGTAATGTAGTTTCTGACAACAATTTAACAAACAAACAAAGAGAGAAACCACAAATGCAGAAAGTAACTGATACCAGTAATTGTAAGCTTACTCGGACGAATAAAAATATGAGGTTTGTAATAAAGCAAGTATGCAGTGGTTTGTTTTTAAAGAGATTTGATAATGACGGTGGCGACTTTGATGATGTAATCCATGCATCAGAAAAAAGTTCAGTTGAAAGTGAGACGCAGGATGTTTGTGTCACCTTTAAAGAAGATGGTAATGAAATGGAAACTATCATGAACACTTCAATGAGTGATGAGAAATGTATTCCAATGCATACAGCTAATGTGGAAAATATACATAACAACTTTAATGGTCAGTCACTTAAAATGGGCCAAAAGAATTGCTCAAAACATAATTTTGTGGTTAAAGTAAATAAAACTGTTGAAGAAAAACTGAAATTAGAAGCTGTACGAGAGGAGGAAATACAGAGCTTTGAAACAGGTAACATAGGTAAAAAACTGTGCAGTTATGGTGGAAAGCAAGGAGTCATAAAAGACTTTATACATTTGAATGAAAAGGAATGTTTGAATTCTGAGAAAACCATTTCTGATCATGAAAATCCAGAAGTTTCTCAACATGTCTTAAAGAAAGAAACTGTTAAAGAATCCCAAAAATGCCCTGTTCCTCCAGAGAAAATGGATGCCTTGAAATGTATAGAATCTAAATCCATTTATGAAGAGCCTGAATTGCATGTTGAAAATTCATCATTTGAAAAATGCCCAGCTCCTCCAGAGAAAATGGATGTCTTGAAATGTATAAAACCTAAATCCATTACTGAAGAGCCTGAATTACATGATCCAAATTCTTCTTTTGAAAAAGAAGAAACTAAGCGAAAAATCCAAGAAAAAATAATTAGTTTCTTGAAGGAATCTTCTAAGTCAGTAACTCCCATAGATGAATTAGACTGGCTAGCAGGAGCTAGTATTATAGATTTAAATTGTGGTCCTACACAAGCCATAAATTTGTTCACAAATAAGTTACAAAAGAATTTTGAAGATCTTAAAAAGTTTGCTATTGCACAGGAAGATATACCAGAAATTACTGAAGATTTATTGGAGGAGAAGAATCATTTATTATCACAGATCAAGAAGCAAGTATTATCACTAAGGCTCTTGAAATCAACAGCAGACTATCAGTCATCAACTGTTCAGTGTGCTTCGAAGAATGAAGATGACACATACAGGAACTCTGGGATTACCAACAAGTACATGGATGGCATTAGTCCTACAGAATCAGGGTCTTCATCTAAATCTGTAAATGTGGACTTGCACTCTTCACTTGGTGTAAATATGGAAAATCATAACTTGTCACAAGACCCATCATCATCATCACCTCATCTTCAGAATAATTATGTAATTTCTAAAGCACTTTGTAACTCAGATACCAGTGATTGTTTTGGAAATACTCTAGTTTCTTTGGCATCAAATACATCCCGGATGAATTATTCCAACTACCAAGACAGGTTCCAACTACTAAGGAAAGTTGCTGAGAATTTTCAAGATGCGGGTATGTCTGTAAATCTCACTCAAAATTCTAGATTGAATGAAGCATTTGATTATCAACCATCTAGTCTGGTACCAGTTCAAAAGCAACATCATCAAACACTTGCACAAGATACCATGCAACTTCTTCAACCTGTTGAAAGCTTTGATTATCAACCATCTAGTCTGGTACCAGTTCAAAAGCAACATCATCAAACACTTGCACAAGATACCATGCAACTTCTTCAACCTGTTGAAAGTTTTGATTATCAACCATCTAGACTGGTACCTTGTCAAGAGAAGCAACAACAGATGGTTATTTCTAACAATTCACAACAACAACACTACAGCAAGCTTTTTCAGTTACTTTCTAGTCAAAAAAGATCAGTAACTTCATATTTGGCATGCAAAGGAAATACCGGTGGAGTTACTTCTCGACGAGAAGATACAGCGTCCAGAGAGCAGCTACGGCAGTCTGACCTTACAGCCACTTCAACATTATCAGAACAGTGTGTTCTAAGTATGAACCCTCAAAGTCAGCAGGCAACTATAGGAATTCCTTCAAACATGTATTATTCATTTCTGAATAGTGCTAATATTTCTAAAGCAAATATTGGTCAAGAACAAACAGCTTCAACCACAAATAGACTACTTCTAAACCAACATGGTCATTGTAGCTCATGGCCAGCACTCCAAACACTTGACAAAATATTTCACCAAAGAACTATAAATAGTTCAAGGAATTCTGCTTCTCCTGGGTCTGAATGTACCTCTGTTAGTAGTAGAACTTCAGCAGAAATGTGCTCCTCACCAATTTTAGAAAGTGAATTGAGAAATGGACATTTAAATAATAATTTCGATGTTTTGTTAATGTCACCCATCCATCAAAATCTGAATGAAAGAACAGAAGAAACTCGACAAAAGGGTCCTCGCTCTGCTCTTGCTTATATTCCACAGCTGCAAAGAAGAGCTGTGCATCAAAACCATCCCTATAATTATCCACAAGATTTTTCAAAAACAGGAGATAGAGCTAACATACCAGGAAGTTATTCTCCATCAAATAGGTTTGTCAATCAGCAGGTTAGAACTTCTGGAAGATCATTAACTCATCAACCTTGGAATGATTTATCCCATTTCAGAACATTTGAGAGAGTGCCTAATGAGTACTCTCAAACAAGTACAACGCCTAATCCAGAAATCAACAGAAGTCCTCAGGTAGGAATATGATGATAATTTTCCATTTCTTTTCTTCTCTTATGTAGACAGATTAATTAATGGACATTCAACATCAACCATAGTGAAATGTTTGTTGGAAATAAAGCCAAAAACGTTTTGTTTAATCTTTTCAATGCTTAAAATATACAACATAGGCAGAATTAATATACCACAATGAGTCTATTCTTTGTTCTGGAAAAATTTGTTTTCCAAAACACCTTAAAAAACACAGCTACCATGAGATTGTTCTTATCATTATGATATTTTCTCCAACTTGTAGGTGTGAGGAATGGATCTTTAATTTGTTGAATATCCCACAAAGTTACTTGAAAGCTAAACATGCTATTTGTCCCTAAAGAAGAAGTGATAGGCTAGAACAAAGACAGGTAGTCCATCCACGTCACCTTGCAGAACTCTTAGGCTACTTTTATCAATGAAAATCGGGATTGACTGTTACACTATGATGCTTCTACAGCTGAGATTGCAAACGTATTTGGTGATAGGATTTGAACTTGCAACCCACAGATTGTGAGCTGAACTCCTTTACAACCAGGTCATGCCAGGCCTGTAAGGGACTGAAAAAGAATAAAAATTACGTGGCTATATGGGCGATGAAGGGGCTCAAAAAAGATTAAATGACATGGCCTCTGTTTAGATAAACTCCCAAAAAGTAACATAGTTGATCTTTAAGCATAGATCATTAAAGAACAATGTTTCAAATGCTCCTGAAATAAAGGTTGTAAAACTCCAATCAATTCTGAATTGAGAAACAATTAACAGAACTTCAAATCCATTTGCAGAATGCTTTTCTTCTTAATAAGGTGTGCCACCTGTCAAATTTATTGATGTAACATTAATAGAACCATAGTTTCACTGCTGTTATCCTAAATCTTGTGGTTATCTCCCATTGATGTACTTGAGTTCTACAAAGAGCATTTAATGGTCTTGCTGTTAATTCTTTTCTTATAGACCAGAAGTTCCTTCAAGGGGTAAATTAAATTATCTGGCAACTATAGCAAACACAGTCCGTTTAGGAACCAGCCAATTACGGCTTAACCCTATAGAAGTATCATCAGGGTCCATAAGATCCCCATTAGATTTTTAAACATATTATTATAAACTATTCATTAACCAAGTTGATCATTGCTGTGTTTTGCAATGCCAGTTGCATCTGTGACTATTCACTAGGGGACATGGTCAGCCAAGTATGTTTGTCTGTGATGTACATTGACCACAGATCACTGGGTTCTTCAAGTTCTATCAGACTGACTTCCCCACATTTATCATCATCTCGGACCTTGATATTCACTTGTCCCATTTCTTTCCCTCCTCCACAGGATTCCATTTTATGCCAGAGCCTTGGAAGCAGTTCAAGATCTTTTACACAAGGATGCTATTGAACAAGCACTTCACCCTTCTCTGGGGTTCTATTCTCGGCTGTTCATAGTTCCCAAAAAACTGGAGATTGGCATTCTATCATCAACCTATCCAACCTGAACCACTTCATTGATTTCCCTCAGTTCACACTTCAGTGGGCATTCACTCCAGGTCTCTGGATGCATACCTTCATATACCTATCTTTCCAGCTTCCAGATGTAACCTTATTTGTTCATGGAGGTCAAGTTTCCAGTTTTGCATTCGTCCTTTTGGTCTGGTGTTAGCATCTTACGTCTTCTGTCATGTGGTCAGAGCCTTTGCCCACCACCTTCACGAACAAGGTTTGAGGTTTCATCACTACATGGATGACTGGCTACTTTTAGATCCATTCCAACAAGCCTCTCTTACTCATACACATTTCCTCCTACAGGATGCTGCTTATGTAGGACAGCTAGTCAAGCTGGAAAAGTCCTATCTCAAATCTATGCAATATCTGATCCATATTGGGGTGTTTTTAAACACCTTTCTCAGCAAGACCCAGTTTTCTCTTCATTTGAGATTGATGAAGCTCTTGGTTTCCAAAGGTAAATCCTGTTTTTTCTTGCATACAAGGTTCTGTCTCTTTTGAAGATCTGTGTGTTCATGTAAGCCCTTATACACTAGGGTTGTACACACATACATGGTGTTCAGTGGATGTTGCACAATCAGAGGAGTATGTTTGGAATGTCTTGGATTCCATACTCCCCCTTCCCTCCAAGTAGACTTTGCCTGGTGGCTCAACAGAGACAACACCTCTGCTGGCATTCCTCTGCCTCCTCCCCATCCCGATTTGCATCTGTTCACAGATGCTTCTCTTACGAGATGGGGAAGATATATGGATTCTCAGGAAATTGAATGGTGTTGGACAGTGTTTGAATCTTCCCTCCATATCAACCTATTGGAACTTATTACAGTTCATCTGGCCTTGGATCATTTCCTACCATTGGTACAAGGCCTTTTAAGCATGATCCATTCCAGCAGTTTGACTGTTGTCTCTTACATCAATTCATGTTTGCTTTGCTTTCAAATGTTGGACCTTTTTTTCTGAGCCCAGTTTCAGCAAGTCTGCCTTCTTGCTTGTCACATCCCAGGTGACCTGAATCTTATAGCAGATTGGTTATTTTGTCCCTTAGTTTGGTACTCCTCTTCTGGATGCATTTACCACCCATATCAATACCAAACTGCCCCTCTTTTGGTTTCTGGTTCCACATCATTTAGCTTTGGCAGTAGATGATTTCAGTCAGGATCGAACCAACCTTTATGCCTATCCTCCTATTTGTGTTCTCTCCCCCTCGATGTGGATTCTTGTATGTGGTGAGGGGACATCCCAGGGAATGTTCTGTGTCTTCAGTTTACCTCCTCTGGGATCTAAACAGCCACCCACGTGTTTGCTGTGTGTGGTATTTTGTAAAAGGGAGGAGAAGAACTTGATGGTTGAAGGGTGTAATTTTATGGGTCAGTTTATGTCAGTAGCACTTTAACACACCACTTTGGCCTTGAATTCTTGTAGACAAATGGTCCTAGGGTGGCTCATTTAGGGCCAGTCGGCTGGTCCTTTTGGGCTATGGTCAGCCAAGTACCATTGTTGGATGTCCTCAATAGTATTTGTGGACATTCTTTCTAATACTGGTGTTTGGTTATAGTGCTCACGCCAGTCTCTACAATGCTCGGCTTTAGCATTGTAGTGATACCCTTGTAGGACTGTATGGTGGATGGGGTCAGTGGGCACTGAAGGTTTTCCTTTTTTATGGACTCTACACTTTGTGACCCACAAAAAAATTCATTGAATGGAAAGCAACCACGATTGGAAGACTCAAGTCTCCAAGTTCTACCTCCTACTGTTTCTGTACCTCATTTTCTCATCCTTCATTCTCTGACTTAGATATCGTTAGGACAAATGTCTCCTTTTTTATTCAGAAGGGTTTAGAGGGACTTGCTGGCTCCACAAAGTAAGTAAAAGAAGCTCCATTCTGGGAACATCTTGATGGAAACATCTACTGCTAAACACAGCTACCTCCTCCTGAATTTGAAGATCAATGGGAATATACCTATTAAGGTTACTCTTCATGCATCTTTAAATTTTTCTGGAGGAGTCATCATTGGGAGAGATTTATGTAACATCCCTGAGTTGGAGATCCTAGCTGGTTTCACCAGCCAAAGGGTTTCTGTGATGAGACATACACTATCCTGCCAAAAGTCATTGGGCATGGGTAGTTATGAATAAAACATGTCTTTATTCCATGTCTTTTTTCTGTTCCCTTGGGACATCTCTACACAGGTAGCCTCCCTTCTGTCTCATTTGGTCTGCCCTTCTTCCTTGAATGTCTACCAGAGAAAATGGCACATTTTCTGGCATTGGTCTCTGCAATATGGTTTCTCAACCTCCCATCCTAATGTTCCTTATGTTTTGGATTTGTTTACTTGGCTATTTAACAATGGTCTATCAGTATCCACCATTGTTGGTTATAGAGCAGCCTTATCCAATACATTTAATTTTTCCCACTCCCATCACATTTTTCTTCTCCTGTTCTTTCTCTGCTGTTTCACTCCTTTTGTGTGATTCATCCACTACATCCAATACCTCTGCCTGACTGGAATTACAGTGTAATCCTTCATGCCCTAACCCTTCCTCCATTTCTTTCTTTGGCCACTTGCTCATTGTATCACCTGTCACTCAAGAGGCATTTCTTGCTCTTTTTTTGTATGTAGATGTTGTAGATCTGATGTGTTCACTATCACCATCTCCCATATTCCTTTATCAGGATTGTAGTTTATTCCCCCAAAATGTCAGCAGTGCATCAAGGGGATAATGCTTTTGTGCCTGTTTCTTTCCTTTTATCTTTCATTTGTATTTCTGTACTGATCCTTATTGTCTTCTTTGTCCAGTACATGCTCTACACTGTTATGGTGCCTGCATTTCTTCCTTCTCTAGATCTTGTTCCTGCCTATTTATACCAAGGAATAGTTCCTTCTACCATTGACCTCTTGTCACCCCTACCGGTTTTCTTCACCAACTTGTACGGCTTGCTTTTGCTTTATTATCTGATGATTCCCATTGCATTTTCCACATCTCCCTCCAAATTTGTCATCTCACTCTCTCTCTCTGGCTGCCCACTTCCATCATCCATTGGAGGAGATTGTACAGGCTGGCACACCTTACACTTTTATAGCTTACTACTTATGTTCCTCATCTGGCTGTCACTTGTCTCCCATTGTCATCCTTTACATCTCATTTTGACTGTGAGGGGATAAGTTTTTCTCTTTATTTCTGACCATTACATTAGCCCCTTTCTCATTTCTTGGATTCCACTCTGTGGAGAGTGGTGCCTGTCCAGGTCGATTACAATATAAATCTGCACCATACAACCGGGTAGGTTTAAAATGCTCACTGAAGAGATGGAGTGTTTCACAAGACCACTCTAAGTTGCCTCGCAGTATCTTGCTTCATAAGTAAGATCTGAACAAGACCATACCAACTTATGGGATTGTCTTGAGTAAAGCATTGTCAGGATTGCTTTCGATTCTGGTATAATACATCAGTATTGGCCTGATTTTCAAAATAGGGTTGCTAAGTCTTTCAGTGTAGCATTCCTCCAGACTCCCCACTGTATTCTTTCCCATCTCCTAGTGGAGTACAGGAGTCCTTACCACTTACCAGTTCCTAGCTGCTGGGGTAGTGGACCATGGAGGCTTCCTCCGGAGAGTGACCACTTCCACCCAGTTGAGAGTAGGTAGTGGTTTTCTGTTGGTGTAGATGGTGAGTACTCTCTTCCTACCACAAGCTGGACAAAAAAATTCCCAATGCCACATGGTTTTTGGACTGGACAAATCCACCACATGCAGTTCACTCCTCGGGCTGGTTTTCCCCATCCAAGTGCTACCTGGATGTTGGTTCTCATGTGGTCTGGTGTTGGATTGGTGTGAGACCAGCTAACAAGTCCTCACGTGTGGTTGGTAGAGACCCTTCTTCTATTGTGGACTGGATGAAAAATTCCAGACACCGTCAGGTTTTGGACTGAAGTTTACCAACCATGTTTGCATTCTCCGTTCCTACCATCACCCCATTGTTGGGTCTGTACAAATGTGCCCTGCCATGGTTGTCGGAACAGAAAGCTTGTGAATTTTTGGCTTTTACTAGCTTTGGTTTGGGTAGGAATACCCCAAATTTGTAGCCACAGCATTCACCTTGTAATGAGAATGTTGCTTTGGATTATATTGGGTTGTAGTTTTGAGGGTAATTCCTTTTTCCAAATACTTTGCTGTGTAAATTGTTTGCTTTCATGAAGAATAATGAATGCTCATTTCTTCAAAATGTTGTTGTGGCCTTTTTGATATACATCTTTTAAAAGTTCTGTTATACAAATATCTTTACCTAGAAAAGTTTGTGACATATCTCCAGCAATCGGTCTAACTTTGGCAGCATTGCACATCAAATAGTTGAGAATATCTAGGTTCTAATTATGGCACAATAACTTGCACGTATAGCAACATACCACTGTATTAGCATATGCAGTTTGTTCTTGTAAAGTATGATAAACCTAGTGTATTATAATACTTACTGCTATTTTATACTGGTATTCACTAGAGGATAAAAGGAAATAATGCTTGTCGCACAACATGACGAAGTTTTATGCATTTCCTTTCCATCCCTTCTACTGAATACACCATGGGAATAAACATTGTTTTTACCATAGAGTATTGTTAGAAAAACTTATTTAACTCATTGTCTTGCATATTGTTCTTTCTTTGTTGAGTAAAGTTGTGCGATGAGAAACCAAATACACTTTAAGGTTATGATGATGATTTACTTCTATGAATCACTGTTGAAGTTAACTGATCCACTGTAATTCATGTTTCTGTTGATTTTAAAATTGTTTGTCACTAAGCCTAGAAACGTTTTACTGTGCGATTGTTTGAACGCGCTATCTGAAATTATTGTGTAACGGTTGATTCCTTGAAATAAATTAATTTAAATGTGCTTGCATACTTTTAATTAGATACTGTAAATTTTTGGTACTTAAAGTAATAATAATAAGAGTTTGTGGTTGAAAGTATGTAGCACGAACGTTTAGTCTCCAAAAATGGCACTGTATTTAATTTATTATTTCCATAATCCTATATAAAATTATGCAGTCAGTTATGTTGGATGGTTAATGTACCCTTCAGGTAAGAAAGTCTTATCAGATGATTTGTATTGTCAAATAAATTGTATAAAACCAGTACAGTGTAGGACTGTTAATATAGTTTTCTATTGTGGGGGGTATTTTTGTTAAAGAAGTAGGCATAAATGATATGTATAAATGTGTTAAAAAAATATATTTGTATATATATGTAAATAATTCTTTTTTTCTTTTTTTACAGAATGTGTCTGCAAAGTGTAATTTATGTGAAAAAACAGCTAAATATCAATGTACTGGATGCCATTCTGCTAAATATTGTGGACAAAGTTGTGCTGTATGTATAATTTTTCATGGTTCACTATTTGATTTGCACGTTAAAAGCTTCGGTGAAAGTAGTGTACCTGTATTTTGGTTTTATTTTCATCCACTTCTTTACACAAACATACTAAACCGAGAAACATTGCTCAGAACCTCTACTGAAACATGTAAATCCACATATACACTACATTTCAAGTATTCATTAGTCACTGTAGTTTTGTTACTTCACTTACTAAGTCTCATGATAGGTTACAGTACAGCTTTCTGGAAGACTGGGAAAGATCTGCTGACTATCAGATGCAATCTTGCATAGCGATACAACACAAAGTCAGAGTAACTTATGCACAAGATCCTGAGTTTGCTCAGGAAGTTTTTTAGACAAATATCTATCAACATTCCCCACAGAACTTAGCCTCAGTGCTCAGAAAGCCAGAGTTCAAAGTGTTTTAAGCATATAAATGTTGATTTCTTAGCTGTTATCAACAGCTGTTATCTTATCCAACAGTCTCAATTGTCCTAAACAGTTTTGCATCCTGTGCTCCTCAGTAATGTCGCTACAATTCAGCTATGTATTGGTCAATCACTCAGAAAGTAAGGGTCACAATGCCCTCTTAGCTATTGATATTTCTCTAGGCATCCCCCTCTTCTCTAATTTATTTACAACCCCTCCAAGAAGTACAAAATTTAACATATATTATTTATTATAATATTGTCACCACTTAGGTAAAGCATAATTTTCATAGCCTTCAATTTTTTTACAGAGCCATCAAATAACAAATCAGACCCCTCTTGCCACATCCTCTTTCAGGATTTGTCAATAGATTATTTTTAACAAATAGAAAACCAACATTTTCATCTATCAAATGATGTACTATATTACATTGTTTTCTGTCCAGAAAAATGTTCGTTTTTTCTTTCATTACAAATTGCGTTCCCACGGAAAACGCATCAACTAGCTTGGATAAATTTGTAACAGCTCTTGTCCAGAAAAATTGATAGTTATAGGTCGTTGTCTGCATTTTGCATTTTATCAATCTATGTTCTTTGGTGCATTATTTAATAAAATAAGAATTATTTAGTGCACTACTACCATTAGTATAAAAAAATAAAAAGTAGGGTTAAGTGTCATCAACAGTCAACAGCAAAAAAATAGAAGACCCAGGTAAGTACTTTATTTCTTGTTTTTCACGTATATTCTTTATTTTTTATTATGAAAATAACTAAAATGTAAAAATAGGAAACTATTTAGGTTAGACTAGGTAAAATAAATTAATAATAATATAATAAACATTTTTCACAAGGCATGCACATGAGCAGCTTGGAGTAGCTCATGGGTAATGTAATTCAATAGCGTAACATGAGCCACCCAAGTGATTTATATTTACAACTTATGATGGTGTGGATAGTACTAGTAGTAGTTAAACATGGTTCAAAGGGCAATAAAACTTAAGTATAAATAGATATATACTGTTACAAGTTTAAAGCTACTTAGTATAAACAAATGTAGTTTTGTGTTACAATTTAAAGTCATTCTAGAAATTTTTTTTTATGGTTAAGAGGTTGGTCAAATTAACCAACCTTCTATAGAGTTATTGAAGAGAAAATAACATAAGATATAAAGTTTTCCTGAAAACAAACGTTTGAAATGTATTTAGGAAGTTTTAAAGATTATACAAATGAAATTTGAGATTTTTGAGATGATGAAGAAGAGTGTTTTTAATCTTAACATGACAATTATTTTGCATCAAACTAGTCAAAAAAAAAGATTCAGTATATTCACAGACAAATCTTTTTCTTTTTTTTTGAGTTTACTAAAAATACTTCACCTAAAAATCTGCATGACAAAGTGTGAAACTATTGGATGTGCTGTTTAGCGGGAATTTCTTAGAAACAAGCATCAGCCTTGGTGTATAAACCGAAACGTTACCGCACTTTCCCCGTGTAGTTGAAAGTCTCGAAGACGACATACAAGAGAAAAGAATGAGTTGCACGTTATGCTAAACAAAGAGGAATGGGATTCGAACCCAGATATTTTGCCCCTTGCACGTGACCATTAGGTTGCGAGTTGAGCACTCTAATTGCAAAATCAGGCTTCACTATTGTATTTGGAAGTAAATTAAAAGAAATGGTTTATAGCAGCAGGGTTCTACAGATTAAAATGTATTAACTTTAAAAAACAGTGTTACTTACATGTTTGCAGTAACAGAAGTATAATATAAAAATCATTTATTGACTGGCATGAAACTGATGTCATTTATCAATTAAACTATCTGCATTTTGTGTCTTTAAAGACTAAAACCTACAATACCACTTTTAAGCGTAATTATTGGAAAACATTTTACACACGGTATCATACACATTGCACGTTTAGTTTAGTATGTGAGGAACAAAATAGCTAGGAAACCAAGTTTTAACAAGGTTAAAAAATATAAGAAGTAGTAGAATTGCCTATTTTATCCTACAAATGAGCAGGATTTCACAATATTTGACAGAAAAATTACAATAATTTTATTATGTTCAAACACATGGTATACCAATAGCAATAAAATTGTAGTTTGTTTTTTAAACATTTTGAGTTTATACCTGATGCTTTAGTAAACTGTTCATAATTTAACAAGTTTCATTTTTCGAGATCTTCAACAAAATATTTGAAGGAAAAAAAAAAGATATTTAAATACAAAACAGATTATGAATAACACTATTTTTTTTCCCCTTTCTTTCAGTATGTACATTGGATTATCGGACACTCAAACGAATGTAGAATTCTGAATGAGATCAATAGAACATGACAACACAAGAATTAAAAATGATTTTAGTAAAGCTTAAAATACATATTAATCAAAGAAATTGATAAACTGATACTTGAATATGTATGTGAAAGTAGTGCTTTATCAAAAATGGGAGTCGGAAAGAGTGATGGTTTGACACCTTAATCCTACACCTCAAACAGTAAAAAAAAAACAATTGGGGTTGAAACCTTCTTAATGCTTGACTAGCAATGGAAGTGCAATGCATAACATCCTTTTAGTGTCACTAAGAAATAGTAAAAGTTACAGAGTATGACAACTTCCTAGTGTTTCACATCAAACAGTGGAAGTGACAGGGCATGATACCTTCCTAGTGTTTCACATCAAACAGTGGAAGTTACAGAGTATGATACCTTCCAAGTGTTTCACATCAAACAGTAGAAGTGACAGGGCATGATACCTTCCTAGTGTTTCACATCAAACAGTAGAAGTGACAGGATATGACACCCTTATAGCATTTCACATCAAACAGTGGAAGTGACAGGGCATGATACATTCCTAGTGTTTCACATCAAACTGTGGAAGTGACAGGGCATGATACCTTCCTAGTGTTTCACATCAAACAGTGGAAGTGACAGGGCATGATACCTTCCTAGTGTTTCACATCAAACAGTGGAAGTGACAGGGCATGATACCTTCCTAGTGTTTCACATCAAACAGTGGAAGTGACAGGGCATGATACCTTCCTAGTGTTTCACATCAAACAGTGGAAGTGGCAGGATGTGACACCCTTATAGCATTTCACATCAAACAGTGGAAGTGACAGGGCATGATACCTTCCTAGTGTTTCACATCAATCAGTAGAAGTGATAGAGCATGACACCCTTTAGTATTTCACATCAAACAGTGGAAGTGACAGGGCATGATACCTTCCTAGTGTTTAACTTCAAACAGTAGAAGTGACAGAGCATGATACCTTCCTAGTGCTTCACATCAGTGGAAGTGATAGGGCATGATACCTTCCTAGTGTTTTACATCAAACAGTGGAAGTGACAAAGCATGACACCCTTTAGTGCTTCACATCAGTGGAAGTGATAGGGCATGACACCCTTTAGTATTTCACATCACACAGTAGAAGTGACAGGGCATGATATTTTCCTAGTATTAAAGTATTGTATGATGTTGATATGTTTTTTTAAGATTTCGTACATAATATTGCTAATAAAATATATGATGATCTAGTTAAAATGCTCAACCTAACTTTTGACGAGTTACAGGAGTAGTAAAAGCAATGGTAATTGGTAATGTTGTTTGTGGGATTGAGATAAGTGAACAGTATTTGTTTGTTACTAACACTGCTGATGATAGAGTTGATAGATTTGCATTTTCTCAGGATAATACGTTTTATTTGTGCCAAGAGCCAAGTGTTTTTCTAAAGTAAGTCAAGTATAGCTTTACTCATTTCATTTAATGTATGTTTTGTCCATGGTGTTAAAAATAACTGTTGGTGAGTGTTGAACATTTTTTTAAATCATAATTGTGGCTTAAAAATTTTCAACGCAAGACTGTGTTGTACAGGGTGTCCCAGAAGTCTGGACCCATAGGGAAAAATACACAATTTATTTTTAATTTATTTATTATTCAAATTGAATGCCATTAACAGCCATACACATATCAATTATTGTTATACTGTGCCATCAGGGTATTTTCTTTCCTGAAATATATACAACTGACATTAGAAATGTGTTTGTTTAACTTCAAGAATATAATGTCTATTTTCAGTATGGGTCCAGATTTCTGGGACACCCTGTACAGTACATAAGGTTTCAAGAATAGAGTAATAAACATTCAGTGTTAGATTAACAAGGATAGTTGTTTACTTTGTCCAACACGACATAGTGTTATTGTAGGATGTGGTCTTAAAAACAGTAGAGAAACTTTTGTGTTCAGTTTTGTTTGTTTGTTTGTTTGTAGTTAAGCGCAAAGCAACATAATGGGCTATGTGTGCTCTGCCCACCACGGGTATCGAAAACCAGTTTCTAGTATTGTAAGTGTGCAGACATACTGCTGTGCCACTGGGGGGTTCTCAGTTTTGTACAACATTAATAAAATAATAAGTTGAGTTAATAGAAGGATTGGTTCTTGTCGTGTCATCTGTTTAAAAAAACATGCTATTATTTCAAGTTATTGTACTGGGATTAAGTCTCTTGCACCACACTTAACTATAATGTTACCTGGGATTTGTGAACAGTATTAAATACTTTTACCAGGAAAAAACAAAAAACTTCTTTCTTAGGTGAGGTTGTCTTATCCATTCTTCTACTTGGGAGTAGCAATTGACACACCAGACCTGTAGCTAAGTGGGCCTGGTGCCTAATCCACTAGGTTATTCTTCTTCATCTAGGATTTGTCCATCAACTGTTGGATGTACCAGGAAAGAAAAACTTCCTTCTAAGGTGAGGTTGTCTTATCCATTCTTCTACTTGGGAATAGCAATTGACACACCAGACCTGGAGCAAAGTGGGCCTGGTGCCTAATCCACTAGGTTATTCTTCTTCATCTAGGATTTGTCCATCAACTGTAGGATGTACCAGGAAAAAACAAAAACTTCTTTCTGGGGTGAGGTTGTCTTATCCATTCTTCTACTTGGGAGTAGCAATTGACACACCAGACCTGGAGCTAAGTGGGCCTGGTGCCTAATCCACTAGGTTATTCTTCTTCATCTAGGATTTGTCCATCAACTGCAGGATGTAGACCTCTGTTGGATCTTTTCTTTTTGTCCTATCCTTGGCTTTTCTCATCCATAAAGGTCCTGCGTATCTTATGATATCATCCCTCCACTGCATCCCTTGTCTTCCTCTTTGATCTTTTACTGCTTTTGTTTGCCATACTGTTGTTCATATTTTCAATCTGTTGTCTGTTAATCTTGCCATATGTCCTACCCATTTCCATATGCTCACACTAATAAACTTAATAATGTCTTTCGCTTTTGTTTTTTTCTCATATTGTCTTGTTGGATATTTTATCATTTAATCTAATGTTAAGTATTTTCTTTCCATCGTTCTTTATGTGATTCTTAATTTAATCTGTGGTCGACTAAGTCTGACATCTCTACGTCGTCGTTGGCATAATGCACGAGTCATCTACTTTCCTTTTAAGTGATATTGGTCGTCTTGAAAATATTGAAAATATTTCTATGCATTTTCCAAAAAAAATGCTCTATCCTGTAAGAACCTCCTCCCTGATTGTATCTCTCATTTTTAAGTTTTTCATTCCTCTTAAAAACAACTTAAAAAAACAAAAACTATCCAGTATAACACTGTATAAGTATATATTGTATATTAGAGAAGAAAAACACATAAAATTACAATAAAAGTGAAATCAGTCTTTGCACTGAGACATGTTCAGACATCTCGGGAATCTTTAGAATATATTCACAAATATTTTGATAGAGGAGCCAATAGTGACATCTTCTCCTTGACGTACCAAAACATGCAAGCGCTTGCGTTTGTAGCTCTTCTGTTTTTTACTCTCCAGTTCTTCAGTGTGGTACTGCATTACACTGCTACAGAGGTGGCCCTGTTATTGTAAATAAATATAAGGCATACTTAGCAGATAAGTGTAAAGTTTTAAATAAATCTCAAATAGTTTTAGATTACTTTAATTTTGACTCGCTTTGTGCAGATTTACATTTTTTGTGTCATTGACAGAACCTGTTCAATTTTTTTTATTTTATAAACTTCAGATATTGCATTTGGTTTAAATATCAGTTTAAATTAATTGCTAAAATTTAACTCCTTTGTAAATGTTCATTAAAAAAAATGTTATACTTGTGCCTGAAATATGAAAAGGAAAAAAAATCTGAATACCTATTACTTATTCTTTGATAAGTGGCATGGCTTTTTATTGTGTTTTAAGGTAATAGTTTCATTTGTTTAGTTGGTCATTGTATACATTCTCTAGTTTTAAAATTATACTTTAAGGATCCAGATGTCTTTCAATAGCATGACTTGTGCTTGTTATCTCACCACTGTGTTTATCATGTGTAAACTACATCCAGAGAAAAGTGGGGCCTGAATTGTGAGTCAGTCAAACTTTCTTCAGTGGGGGAGAGGGGCGTTTTTAAACATATATGGACTTTTTTTTTCAACAAAATGTATTTAAGTGATTAACTGTAGTCTAAATAAAACTTTTAAAATGAAAGTATTCAAAACTTCAAGGAGGAAAAACAAAGAGGGACTTTGTTTTTCTTACAGTAATAACCAGCTAAGCTTTTAACCTTCTTAGGTAAGCCTTTTAGAATAAAAAAAAATTTCTGAAGATACTAAACCTTTTATACTTTCTCGAATATTGTGATGGTTGTTTGACCCCCCCCCTTGGCTATGCCCCTGGTTCAATGCTTTTTGGAGTAACATTAACAGTGTTCTTGTAATGGTTATTGTGGTCCTTTCTGGTGACCATCTCATGATGGTTTGTATTTTTGGTTTTAAAATAATGTTAACCAAGTTTGGTTTTGTTTAAAAAATATATTTATTGTACATCATATTATTTTTGATTATTTACATCTGTTGTTCCATGAGTATCTGACTGAAAAAACTTAATTTTTATACTTGTGTTTATTGGTGCCTCAGAATATATTTTGAAGTCTATGTAAATAATCATTCATTATTTCATGGTCACTTCATTTAACTGGATCAAAATCTGACTTTTTTTTTCTGTGTCATTTCTGATCACTTTGAAAGGTACCAGTATCAGTTACCAAAATGAACCTGGGGCTATGCAGTACTTTGGTTGTGAAACTGTAGAGTCAGGAACTGTGTCTTTAAAGTGCGTGTGCTAGAGAACTTCTGTAAATCGTGGGTTAACTTCCCTGACTGTGTGCTTGTTACTATTAATTGCAGATTTTGCGTGTAGTTTTTACTTTTTGCTATTTTGTTTTTATGAGTATTAATACTTAGTATTTATACATATCGGTAGCCATCTTTCCAGCATATCTGAAATGTTCAAGTGACAGAAAAAAGTAATTTCATTAGTGCAGTAATTGGTCGTTTAAAACAATTTTAGGAAATGATAAATTAATATTGTTGTTTTTTTTATTCTAGTAATCAGTGAAAGATGTAATAAAATAATCAAAACTGTTAATTTGTTTATAGTATTGAGTCAGAATACTACTTATGTATATTTGCTCAAAGTTTGTTTTCACATTATGAATTTGTTCCAGTTGACAAATGTAGTTGTAGTTTAAACAAAACAGCCCCCAGAAGAAATGGTATCATTATATTTAAACTCAACTTGTCAGTAAGAAATGTGTTCAAGACTTTTCACATTAACAGGAGATTCTGTTAACGTGTAAAATGACATCACTGGCTATAATTGCAAACCTTTTTGTTCCTGAGTACCAACTAACCCTAATAAATTTATGGACTTTGAATTATACATCCACATGTAATTTATATCTCAGGAATCTTATTTGTTTGTAATTACCAGTCATGTACATAAAAATTAGGTTTACATAACCACAAGACATATCTCAGTCTTAAAAACACAATTCATGTATTGTCTGTAGTTCATATAGGATCTCTGCATCATAACATATTATATGTAAACTTTGTTCTTACATAAAGAAGCAGTAAACAATAATTTTAAACTTGTAAATATAGACTTTTAATTACAAACTACATCATCTCGTCCAATGATCATAATTGTCATGTGTAAATATTTGAAATCTTTAACCAATCCTGTAACGAAGAAGGGGAAAAAGTCTAGCAATAAACACTCTTGATATGTCACTTATATTGATAAGACAAAAACTTTCTGTAAGATCTAAACTTCTAATGCTAGTGTTATATAAGTGTAAGAGGGAAAAATTTAAAACTGATTATTTGTAAGAAGAAAATGTTACGTTATTTATGTTTATAAACAGAAAGTTGTAAAATATTTTATATATATTATTTGTTGTTACATTGAACTGCTTATATATTTCATGAACGAATTTTTTAATAAATGTTTTTTTCTACTCTTGTAAGTC